TGTGCTGAGCATTTTGTCGCGTGTGTGTATGTGCGTGACAAAACGCCTAGGTGTGAATGGGAGCTCAAGTCGGGTATACACATTTTTTTTATGGCTGAATCCCCCGCTGTTTGCATTCTAATAGAGGCTGTGGTCAGAATACTTGAACGATTGAGGGATGCCGGGCAGAAGGGTGCCGACAGCAGCACCCACTGTGCGAATTTCATCCAGTTTATCAGGAAATTCGTCCTGTGTATACCCTGCTTTAGGAGACTGTCAAAGGGCATGCTACACTTACCTGAGACTTGGGATTTGTAGTTCCACCACAGCTGCAGGACCAGTGTTTAGCTACCCCTGCTTTAGAAGATCACCCTCAATGTTTTTAGCCTTTAGTTAGATGGGCCTAGAATCCCTGTATGAATAAGGGAGAGAAATGCACTTGGTAATGATTATATATACAATGACAGCTTGAAGTCTTTTTTGTGGTATGTGTGGATGAGGCTCTTTATCTTCTCAGATGTAAAGCTGCCTATTATTCCTGGCAAAAAGCCTCCAGGTCCTGTAAATTCTTGGGCTGTCTTGCATGAACTGCACGTTTGAGATCTCCCCAGAGTGGCTCAATGATATTGAGGTCAGGAGACTGAGATGGCCACTCCAGAACCTTCACTTTACGCTGCTGTAGCCAATGACAGGTCGACTTGGCCTTGTGTTTAGAATCATTGTCATGTTGGAATGTCCAAGTACGTCCCATGCGCAGCTTCCGGGCTGATGCATGCAAATTGTCCTACAGTATCTTTTGATAACATACTGCCAACAATTCTGACCAACTTTCCTGTGCCTTTTGTAGCTCACACATCCCCAAAACATCAGCGATCCTCCGTGTTTCACAGCAGGAATGGTGTACTTTTCATCATAGGCCTTGTTGACTCCTCTCCAAATGTAGTGTTTATGGTTGTGGCCGAAAAGCTCAATTCTGGTCTCGTCACTCCAAATGACTTTGTGCCAGAAGGTTTGAGGCTTGTCTCTGTGCTGTTTGTCATATTGTAAGCGGGATACTTTGTGGCATTTGCGTAGTAATGGCTTTCTTCTGGCGCCTCGACCATGCAGCCCATCATTCGTCAAGTGCCTCCTTATTGTGCATCTTGCAACAGCCACACCACATATTTTCAGCGTGTCCTGTATTTCACCTGAAGTTATTTGTGGGTTTTTCTTTGCTTCCTGAACAATTTTCCTGGCAGTTGTGGCTGACAGTTTAGTTGGTCTACCTGACCGTGGTTTGGTTTCAACAGAGCCCCTCATGTTCCACTTCTTGATTACAGTTTGAACACTGCTGATTGGCATTCTCCATTCCTCGGATATATTTTTATATCCCTTTCCTGTTCTATACAGTTAAACTTCCTTTTCCCGCAGGTCCTTTGACAAATCTTTTGCTTTCCACATGACTCAGAATCCAGACACGTCAGTGCAGCACTGGATGAAGGATGCAAGGGTCCATCAGGAGACCAGAAACTCATTGGGCTTTTTATATATATAATCTATCCTTGATTGGGCAACCATTTCTGTCATGATGACTACCCAGCTCTTTGCATGGCAATGACATATCATCTATACATGCACAAACAGAAGTAGATTTGTGGAATATGAAATTACTAAACTGCAGTTAATCTCAATTCCCTCGAAGCAGTAAAATAGGATTTCTCCTGGCACTGAATAAGTTGACGGCCCCGCAGCTTCTGACATCAAACACAACAGCCAGCCAGACCCTGCAGGGAAAGTGTATTCAGTTAATTAATGATTTTGGCTGTCCTACAAAAGACTTTTCAATGTTCCGGTTATCAGGTAGGGATGAAAGAATATGGTGTTGTTGTCATAAAGCATTTGGTGTAACATTCACAGGCTGCTGTGTTCTCTTTTTCATTGACACAACATAGCAGTGACCTTTTGTGACAATTGTCCTTGGTTATTTCAGTTAAATCCTGCTTCGATTAATAAGACTTGTGCCCCGGGGCTTCTCAACCGTCTTCTACTCGGGAGCTACTTGTCGGTTGTCATTGGTTTTTTGGTATGATTAAAATAACTGTAAACTGAACACACGCATGCCATATATCCTAAAATGTTCAAAGTAAAGGTTTTTTTACTTTCTTTTCTTAGTGGTCAAGTGAAGTGCATAGTCTTTGTCCCCCTAATTGCGTGGGGGGGGGGACCTTGCACCGATTTTGCATATCTCAGCATTTCTTTAGGTCTTAGGAGACAGGCAGAAGTGCCCTCAGGTAGTAGTTGGGATGAACAACCAGCCTCGCCCTGCATAAAGATGGGTGTTGCAGCCAGTCATTAGCTTGAAGCAAGCCTAGAGGTGTATGCATTAAAGTGTACAGGCATCTTGGACGCTGATAATATACAGCAGGGCTGGGAGGCATGACAGGAAAAGCGATTACAGGACTTAAAGGTGCGTCATCTGCACTGCGTCCTTTAGCTGCTTGCAGCATTCCTATCGCTGCAAACTGGCCACGCCAGCACAGATCTGCTTTCATGCTTGGCGTGGTTAGTTTGCAACAGGAACCAAGGGGGACTGGCAGGATCACCAGGTGTTTAGCAGTTACATATAAAATAAAGACATTTAAGCCTACATTTATTAAGAAGTATATAAATATTCCAACACACATATATGGAATTCTATTTTTTGGAGTAGCATACACTTTAAATTTGGTCACCACAAGTATCTTTGTCATATCTTCTATAGATGGGTTATGTGACCTGAAATGTCATTTTAAGTGTACGTTTAAATAAAATGTAAAGCTAACCTGTGCTTTAATGCCATCCTTCCTAGCAGTACTTAGTCTCTGTTTCAACAACACGCCAAATGCACCTCATGTGCGAGCATTCACGCAAACGTGTGACATGTTTGAGGTGCCATTACTTGTTAATGGTGCCCTAAATGCGGCCAGTAATGCGCCCGTCTTTGCCTGCGCGTAGACACTTGTCAGCGCACAAATGCATTGTCAAAAACTTGGGAAGCTTGCAGCCAAAAATGCTGCATGAGCTTCAGTGCCTCATTGAAATGAATGTGCTGACATGCGGCAACAGCAGCAAAAACGCATGCAAAAGTATGACCGATGTGTAAGTGTGAATGGGGCCTTCACTTCCCTGCTGCCTTCTTTAGCTGCCAGGAGTGAGGTAAGAAAGGCCTGTGTGCACTGCAAGTCACCCCAGTCAGTGCTCTCCAAGTATCGGAGATGTCACATGACAGCAAGGAGAGAGACGTGTGCTCTCTCATACCTTGAAGCTCCACGTATGTCCTCGGCCCAGTGGTTTAATAGAATGGTGGTTAAGTAAGGAGTGTGCTGCTAGTCATTAAAGCAAACCTGTTCCACTGGGAAGATTTCTCGTCATTTTGGTGTCACACAAGGGGAATGGTCATCACCAGGACATGTAAACACACAGTAATGAGTCTGTTCTAAGCTTCCCCATTTACAAAAAATAAATCTAAACCTTCCCCCAAATCTAAAAAAGTTGAAAAACAGTTTTGTTTGGAATTGGGACTGTTGCTATAGGCTTGTGCCAGAGCCATTATACTTGCCTCTCCGATAGCCCCGTGTCTCCTATTGTTCCAGCGTGCAGTCTCTATCTGTATCTTTAGCATTTAGAACTTCGGAGGTGCCAGTGTCTTCTGCCATGTGCTGTGATGTTTTACTTCGTGATGTGTTGGTGAATTTGAAGCCCTTCCATATCTTGTACTGATGAGAACCAGTGAGCATTAAATGTCTGGATACATTTTCCTGCATATTAGACTTTCTCTGCCTACGTTTTATATCATTTGTATTCACTCTTATTACAGTCTGTTGCAAGTGAACAGTCGGGGATAGCCGTGTTTATGCATTTGTTAGTTCATTGATGGAATTGGCTGTTATTTTACTTTTGCTTTTATTAGGAATCAAACAGATTGTGTTTTCCTGTTTAGACACCAAACTGTGCTCCTGCCATAGAATTTTCTTACTGAGGATCCAACTGGAAAAAAAAAGATCTGTGATTTGTGAAGTATGCGCTATGGATGTTTACTGAGCTTTGAGTTCTATTCTCTAAAGCTGTGAATTTTCAGTAAATGTAAACTACTTTCAAGCCGCCACAGCTGCGAATATGATTGCAAGTCAGAAACTAAGCAGTTTGCTATCCAAAGACAAGAACTCAGACAACTGTGAAGCTAAAACTGGATAATGACTTGACAGATCAAATTGAAATGGAGTTGAAACTACAAAAAAAGGCAGTTTCATTGAAAGTGATCAGATTTTTCCACTATCTTTTCTCGAGGCAATTTTCAATCCCATCGTCTTGCCATTGATCGAAACCACCAATTTTTGTCTCGTATTGCTTTGTGATTTTGACCAAATATGTTATCAAAACTTTGATAGCTCTGTCAAGTTGCAATGAGTATGGCCAGCTTGAGTCTGATACAAACATTATTAGAGACAATTGCGCCACGTAGTAGAGACAATTGACCCACGTAGAGTTGCAGTAATAGCTCTAAGTGCTTGAAACTGATTGAAGCTGTCATTGTGGTGCGCTTTTCCCAACCATGAACCAGTCAGTCCCTTTTGTTTGCAGATCTTGGTGGGGTCAGAGATTGGTCTGTAGAATGGATTTTCTGGATAATTGCTATTGTTTCCATAGTGAAGGTTGTCAGTTCAGTGTATAAAATATGCATGCTGCAATAAAATGATTGTACATGATCAGGTTCGTACTTGAAGACCTCTTATGAGGTTACACCTCTCCATCTGAAAATGCTATTTGCCTGATATGCCACCCACATGCTTTAATACTTTGAGTCAATGACCTGGTACAAGGATGGAGATGAGGACTTGCACTAGAGTCTGCATAATTGCAATTAGCATTTTCAGTAGGAGGTCCGTAATGGCACACCAGGTTTCTCCAATGATGAGTTTCCAATTTCTTTTTTTAATTCCTATTTGAATCATCAGTTGTAGTGGGTAGTGTATTAACCTGATTAATTATGTCTTCTCCATTAGGTCAGTCGCTCAGCGCTTGGTTTGTCAACGGATGTCTGAATTTCTGGAATAGGTTTTTGCTGTCGGGCTGAGAAGTGTAGAGAAGAAGCCAAGAAAGGGACGTGTCATCGGGTAAGTGATGGGCCCATTCGAGGCTAGGACGTTTTGTTGCCTCAATGATGAGTCATGTGACAGTTTTAAGCTTTTTACAGTTTCCTTGTATCACTATAATGGTGAAGCATCACCCCAATTCTCATGTGTTATATTGTCTTTGACAAACAGTAGCATGGCCTACACACAAAACTAAGTCCTTTCAACCTTTTACCTGCCATTGATGTGTACTGGCTTTATAACTTTGATGGCCACATCACATATGTGCGTTTTTATAGTACTTCCTGTATTGGCATTCTACTGTCCTTCTCTCAGTATTTCTACGTACTCTCCCTTAGATTAATAAATGTTCTGCAACATGAGGAAGGGCAGAGATCAGGAAAGAGACCTGAGACAAAATGAAACACAACAATCATTTTCCTAACCTGGTCATCCCCTTTAATGGGGAGTATGAGATTCATGAAGGAGAAATACAGTAATATATTATATCTATAATATTTTTGTTGTGGTCGTAGGTATGGGAAAAGCTTTCCAACTGAGTAATTTAAAAACAATAAAAATCACTTTTTGATGGTAGAGTGGAGAAGGGTCTTGGCTAATTCATTCATAAATATAAATATACCCCCTAAATACCTATACCCTAAATATACCCCTAATATATCTATTTCAGTCATAATTTACAACACTGGTGAAATGTCATTTATGATGATTCAATAAAGTTCTAAAAAAAAAAAAAGAAATGAATCGGCACTGTCCGAGCACAGGAACACCAGCAGCTGTGCAGTTGAGTGCTGGTGTGAACACAGCCTAAAGCTATTGTAATGGTAGCCTTAACCTCCTCCGTTACATTGTCTGTCGAGGCCCATGTTTTTAACGTTGTTCACAGCTGGGTAGCCCTGAAGCTCTAATAAAGACTTCACTCCAGTGTTTTGGAGCTTATAGCACCTTGCAGTGTGCAGGCTGTGTTGTCAGTCAGCATTATGTAATGGGTGGGTGAAGATGGAGGTATTAAAGGCTATCAAGTATTGGGCTGCTGATTTTGTGACGTCCTGCAGAGGAAATATTCCCAAAAAGTTTATTGCTCTTTTTTAGTGATCTGAACAGCTTCCCATAGTATGTTACTATTTTACTTTCTAATTAGCTAGCTGGAAATTGTCCATTACAAGGATGTGCCTGTCCTGTACAGTATTCTGATAGGAATTTTCATCGTAATAGATAATGAAGTCCCCCAATAAAGCTCTGTGTTTGTCATGCTGACAACCAGATAACTTCTTGAATTCTGCATTCCAGCAGTATGCAAAGCCATCATTTGTTTATTTGTGGATGGTTTATATTTAGTATCCATGGAACACAAATGTTCTGTAACCTACTTATGGAGTGTAATTGATTACAGTTTCCAAGTGCCATCATTTATTACTGTTTTTATGTAGGGTGCGTGTCAGGTAAGTTTTTGTTTTAAGAGAAGTGGGGGGTTTCAAAGAGCACTGTTCAACTGTACATGCATTAGTCAGTGATGTCTTCTACCAGTACAGATTAGTCTACAGACTGCACGCCAGACTGAATGTCGAGGTACAAATAATGCGTTTAAAGTGTATGTTCACACAAAACTTCTGTTTTAGTTTTTGATACATTAGAGATGGATTTAAATACCCATTGAGTTTTCATTGCTATCCAGGGTCATCACAATCCAAGGTTTACAATCTGACTGGATGATCTTTGTACAATTAGGTTTTATACGATAACATGCCGTTAAGAATCAATTGCTGTCTCTCTGGACACACGATCGATGTAAACGGCAGATTAGGGATTCCTACTGTATAAAATCGCAAGTTCCTGATGCAGGAATCCCTAATCGCACCTAAAATTAAGGTGTAAATGGAGCCTTGAGATGTTAAATGAGTTGACAGATAAGTTGCGTTGTTTTTACTTCCCTTTTAAGATAGATATATACAGGGCTTGAAAAATCAGCTCGTCTGTGACGAGAGGTCGGCGCTTTACATTCAAGCCATCAAGTGTCTCAAGACGCCCGATCGTTTGTATTGCCAGCAGCTGTCGCTGCCATTGCCGGTCCCGAGTTCCGCAGTGCCAGATTCGGCCGGGACTGGCACGGCTCTGTGACAGGAGATCAAAGGGCGATCAGTACACGATTATATATATATATATACACACACACACACACACTTTGGAAGCTTTGGAGTGCTGACGTCATCTTACTAGATACTATTACACACAGCCCCCCATATATTTTAAATCCTTCATTCACCCCATTAATAATAGTTCCTGTGCACAACATAGATTCGTCCACTATAACTTCTTCTAATATACATGTTTCTGTTTTCTTCTCTTTTACATCTGTAGAGAACCGTGTTCAGTTTCTCCCAAGAGCAAGAAATAAATATACTATTGTGTATAGTGTTGTAAGGGAATGCTCATTCTGTATAGCCCTTCACGTATCTGAAAACACTTTATTCTAAATAAATATTACATGAAGATTTCTAATCCCTGCCTTGTCTGGAAATGATTATTTGAGTGTGTGTGTTAAACGTGAGTGGTCCTCCAGCTACCGGGTTCACTTCCTCAGGTTAGCTGGATCTCAGAAGCCTGTCAAATGTCTAGCAAAGCGTATCTGATGAAGATGTGTCCTGAAACCGAGGCCTGCTGAATTTTTTACACCTGCAAAGACTTCTATTAACTCCTAAGGCTTCTCTAGTACTGCGCTGCACTGTTTGTAGGGTTTCTGCATCTCAAAGTAATTCCAATCCTTTGGCCTTTATCTTGAGAAGAGTTGCACAGCTTACAGCAAATAGCCGATCTATCTGCCTGGAGAGGATGGAAATTGGTAATGAACAGTAGCTTATTCAGAGCAGTGGTCTATTGAAATCACACATTAAGACCTCTCTGAAGGTCTCTTACGGCACATTGCAGTGTAATGAAATCGCCATTTGAGGAGGCTTATGTATAATTTAAGAGAATGAAAAAAACAAAAAGCTTAAAATTCTTGTTAGTAGAAATGGCAATGTGTCCATAATATGAACGGTAAAAAATGTACAGAATGAGCTGCATTACTTTTATGATCCTGTAGATACACCCTTGTGTCTCAATTATGAAACATGTTCAATCAAGAAGTTATGCTCGGTGGTTCCTCGATGCAGTGAATCGATAATATTCAGTTTATATTATACAATACATCTCAGAGACTCTCAATCAGTCTTGTGTGATTTAGTCATTAAAGCCCAATCGAACCTTGAGTTCAAATCAGATGAATACATTCCAGGTGCATTAAAACAAACAGTGTGTAAAGTCTTAGGGCCCATTCACACCATGTCCAGATCATCTCCGGACCAGATTGTTTCAGGACCCAAAATACATCCTAATGTATCCCTAGACTATTTCTGGCCTCTGTTCACACCAGCGCAGTCCGTTCCAGACCAGAAACATACTGCATGTCTGATTTTTGTCTGGTCTGGAATGCACTGGAACTGCAGGCAGGTTTACACATTTTCCGGAACAGGAAATGGTGTGATTTTTGTCCTTTATGTGCCCATACACCTATCCATTTTTGTTTGGAAATCGTCCACGAATGGTCTTTTGAATGATAATTGATGGGGCACCAAAGATTTAAATTAATGTACTTCTGGTCGAATTTCCTCGATCGGTTAGGCAAGGAAACTTTTTTAGAATCTCGTACGAAAATCGATGTATTGGCGCTTTCGTAGAAAAAAAAAACCAGCAGCCAGAACACTGCACACGCGCAAACAAAAATCCGTTCTGGCGATCGACAAAATTCGGTGAGTTAGTATTGCTAACGAACGATTATCGAAATCTACATTGGTCTGTGCATGATTGGGTATTCGAGCTAGAATCGAAAGAGGGTTCTTTGCAGCAACAAAAATTCCCGATCGAAAAATCTATCGGTGTATGGCCAGCCTTACAGTTAATTTTCTTTGTAAAGCAGCCACAGCCCGAGTAGGAAAGGCTGTCCCCTGCTAGCAGCAGCAGAGAAGGTGCAGAGGTCTGATGCGCCTCAAAGCTCATGCTGTCCTCTGATTGGAGAGTTCTGGCTCTGACTCAGCAGGGGGCATGTCAGACTTCTGCAAAGAGACCACTGCTTCTACACAGAGAGCAAGGGTCCTGATCTGCAGTACGATGGGCTTTTCTTTTCAGGCTCATGACTGTTTTGATTTGTCTGGAATGTGTTAAGCGAATTTAGACCTGATGCTTAACTAGGCTTTAAAGCAGAACTTTAAAGTTCTCTTTAAAGGTCTGCTCTTTAGAATAGCCCCCCACCCCCGCCACCCAATTTAAAATGACTCCATAAATGAGTGAATTACATTGTAAGCAGTGGCTAATGGTGTCTACAATATAACATTCCAGGATGCTCTCTCCCAGAGGGTTTTGTTTCTGCTATAGCCCCAGAACACTGTGAGGGAGAACCATTTCATCTGCATGTAGACTGCAAATCAAAAGCCCTGGAAATGGCTATTTACCCATCGTGTTCACAATATCTTAAGTTTTTGTTGTATGTGGCGTTTCGGAAAGTGGCCTTTCTTTGGTCTTTCTCTTTCGGAAAGTGTCCTGAAAACGAGCAGTTAACCCTTGCAGTGCGGGGGTAGCCCACCCAATCAGCACTGGTGGAAATGCCGGCTGCGCTCTACAGGCAGTCCCCGAGTTACAAACATATGACTCCTACTTACAAACGGAGGCTATTACTGTACAGCAGGGGTAGTTGTAATGCTACCGGGCTCGTGCCGACAAGGAGTGCACGCCTTTTTGGGTCTGGTTCGAAGTACTGTACGTACATTACAGGAAGTTGGCTCTTGTTGGATGTGCAGACAAGGGGTGCCCGCCTCTTATTCCGGGTCACTGTGAGGTTTTTACTGCTGTCTGTATCCTCATTGGGAAGATTTAATCTCACTTCCTGTCCTTGAGACAACAGGAAGTGAGAGGAAATCTACCACTAGGAAGGGAAATTCACTCCTGTAAGAGTTATCATGGGAAAAAGGTGTCTCCACTGAAGCGTT